TTGTTTGTTTTTTTTTTTTTTTTTTTTTTTTTTTGGTTGGAGATACCCTCTGCAAAGAATTTTCTCCTAATGTTGCAATTCCTTTTTCCAGATGTTGGTAATTAAAGTGCAGTAAACTTTCCTTTCATACGGTCTTGTGGCAGATAACAAGTCTCAGAAGATCTGAGATAACTTTGTTCATTCTGGCGCTCCAGCTGTAACGTGTGGCCTGATCTTTCCCAAGTACGGCTCGCAGCAAGAAAAAAAATCATCCTTTAGGCTTCTTGGGCTTATACTGATCTTTTTCTCGCCGTGTCAACTTGAACCTTTTGCTTCTTTTTGAATATTGAGTAACATATTGTTATATATTAGGCAACGCTCTTCTAAAATAAATCCTGATTGAAAAACAGGGGGGTGAACAACGCGGTAGGTACCCTGAGATCTGGGGTAGCGGGAGCCCTGCTGTGTCGCAGCTCTGCTGTGTTGATACGGGGCCCATCCCCATGGCCTTGTTTGAAAATTAGGGTTTGCTCCTGGCGGGAGTCGCCTGAGAACCGTGGGGTGGGTGCCAGGCGTGAGTTTGCCAGCGGTGAATGAAGTGCAGCTATTCACAGAATCCCAGACTGGTGGAGGATGGAAGGGACCTCAGGAGCTCACCCAGTCCCACCCCCTGCTCAAGCAGGCTCACCCAGAGCAGGGGACACAGGACAGCGGCCAGGCGGGGGTTGAAGATCTCCAGAGAAGGAGACTCCACAGCCCCCTGGGCAGCCAGGGCTCGGGCACCCCCCAAGTCAAGAAGTTCTTCCTCCCGTTCAACTGGAACCTCTTCTGCTTCAGTTTGTGCCCATGGCCCCTTGTCCTGGTGCTGGGCACCACTGGGAAGAGTCTGGCAGAGGTTGATCAAATACACTGAAACTTTTGGAGAGGAGGGATGTGTGTGGATGCAGGCTTTGGAAAACAACAGGGTACTGATCCCAAAGGCTCTCTGCAATATTTTTTTTTACCGGTGGGGAACAGAAGTCAGATCCTGGCAATGCATCTGTTTGGGAAAAAAAAAAAAAAAAAAGAATAAATCGCCTTCTGTGGAAGACTGTCTCTTCATCTGTGTCTGGAAAACAAACTCCTTTGCTGTCAAACCGTAGTCTAAAGACTTCAGAGAGCTTCTAGAATATGCCTAAGTAGTGGCTTGGTATAGAGAATTTTGATCGTTCATCCCCAGCAGGAGCCGGGTGAGCGAAGGCTTGCGTTGGTGTTCCACTGCTGCGGAGCTGTGTTATGGGAATGGTTGAAAGGCAGCGGGGTTGAGTCCCTGGCAGTGGCAGATAATGTACAAACATGACGAAACAGGAGTCCAAAAAGGCTGCTTCCTGGAAGCGTCTAATCTCCTGGGTGTTGTGTGCTTAGACTTGGAGTGTCTCATGAGCGCTTGACGTTCAGGCCGAGGGATGAGGCAGGTAAGCCTCGCGGAGAGCTTCACGGTGCCCAGCCCGTGCCTTTCGCTGGTGAGGGTCTAGGAGGGAGGTTCCTCCTGTGAAGCTTCATGAGCTCCCAGGAGGCTGTCCCTCGATTTTTATTATTATTATTTTCTCCTCCCTTGCTTTTTGGGGTTTGTTTTGAGCCCAGGAGCAGGTCCATCCCGTGACTGACTCACGGCACCGCTCCACTGGCACTGGCTGAAGAGCAAGCTAACGCTGAAGTTTTTACGGCCCCTCCTTTAGCTGCGACTGTCAACCAAATGTTGCAGGCAAGGCAGGAAATTGAGAAGCTGCCCGGGGTGCAAAATGCTTTCCTGTGTGTTATCTACCAAATTTTAAAATGCTTTAAAAGTTGTTGTGGGGCATCAGATCTTATTTTGAGCGTCGGGGCGTATGAAATAAAACGCTGTGTTGCTTTTCTCACCAGGCAGGGCTCGTTGCACCCTGACTTGCAGGACTGTTGCGTTCGGATGACTTCCGAGCATGTGACTGGAGATTTCTTCCCAAGTCCCGGGGGATGTGAGAGGTGCGGTGAGGTCTCAGCAGAATTCCCTCCGCTGTGCCCGAGGACGCTTCTTGTGAAGCTTTAGAGCTCTCTTCAGCTGATGGATCAAGTGTGGGCAGATCTGTTGCTGGCTTTTCAGGTACTTTTAGGGTGTTACGCAGCAGACCTGCAGGGTACCTTTGGGGAGTCAGCTAGCTGACGTAGAAAATCGTGTACTGTTTTTAAAGAACGGAATAACGCTGCAGTCTACAGCAGAGAGTGTGTTTAAAGAAACAAAACTGAAAACCAAAGCCCTGCAGCAGTTTGGGACCAGTTCTTGTTTGGTTTTTGGTTGTTGTTGTTTTTCTTTAGATTAAACCATTTATGCAGCCTTTTAACAGCAGCGGGGAGCACTGCAGGCCGCTCATCGCATCCTGCCCGTGCGTACCTTTGGTGGCAGTGTCTCAGGGTGCGTAATCGCCGTGGGTGCCGGGGTCCGGAGGCCAGAGCTTGCCCTCCGTGATGTACAGGAGGTGGGGTACCCTGCCCCTCACCCAGAGCACGGGGGCTATGGGCATAGCGGGTGCTGAAGGACACGTTGCAGGCCTGGGATGGGGCTTGGGCCGTGGAGAGGCGTGCGTTAGCTGGATGAGACGGGGGGTGGGAGCAGGCACTCAGGTGTGCTGAAGGAAGCAATTCTTGGTACTTGTCTCCCTCACAAAGTTTGTGTTCAGATGATCTTGGGGCCCCAGGATCTGGGCAATCCAGTTTTCATGGTGAAAATGATGTTTGGAAATGCCCTTTAGCAACCGAAGACCCTTCAGTTTACAGACGATGTCTGCAGGATCATATGATTAGAAAATATACCCGTACCCAAGTTAGCTAAAAGGGATTTGGAAAGCGGGCTGGGTGGCCTCGCTCCTGGGGGTTAAACGTCAGCTTGCGTGGCTGGCAGTCGGAGCTTTGGCGAGCTGCACACAGTGAGTGGGTTGCTAGCTACGTTTAAAAAAAGAAAAGGTATTTATGTACTGATGGGTGGGTTATATTGGCTACACAACTTGGTTATCTCCTGGCAGCATTGTAGCTGCCAGGTCTTGGTTCCAGTAATCAGGGAAATGGGTTGCTCAGTGAGAGGAACAGACTGAGCCGCTGGCAGCCTTGCCAGGAGGTGTTTTTTTTTTTTCTTGGTAGAGATGATTCTGGGAAGCTAATCTGTAAAAAAGCTGGTGCTCCTGAGCTGCACCCAAAGAAGGTAGAACTGGTTCTAGTTCCAGTTTGCTTGGGATCCTATCAAAGCCTCAGAATTGCCCCAAGGGTTTACACCAATTGAGATATTCATCATGTAGGAAGGCCACGAGCAGCCCAGAGGAGCCATGACCTGCACCCAACACTTCCCCTTCACTGTGACCACTTGACCTTAGCCTTTCCTGTTGTCTTTCTCATCTTGACGCTGGCTTTTCTCTTTGTGGCTTTGATCAAGGTATTCATCTGGCCTGCTATGGTTTCCCTGTTTGGGAGAAATAACTGTCTTACTGAGCTGCACAGTCTAAATACGCAGAACAGAGCTGGGGGACCCTTGAGTTCCACATCTTCTGCTTGTTCCTGCTGGGCATGTCTTCTGGATGGAGAGCAGTGGTCCAGCCTGATCTCTGCAGTCTTGAGCTGTTCGGTCACTTGAGGGAGTTTTGAAACCCCTGTTGCCCTTTGGATGATATAAACTGGATCACGTATCTCGTTGCAATGCCAGAAGACTGACGAGGGGAATGTTTTGCTGGCATGTTTTGCCTGAGCCACGTAGCAGGCAGGGTCCTGCACCAGCACCGTGGGCTCTGCCTTGGAGCAGCGAAGAAGCACTGGGTGCTCTTCAAGGAACCGGCTCGTCTCACCGCACGTGTTTGAGTTCTGGAGTCCTAGTGCATAGAAAAAAAAATTTCCACAAACAGAGTTTGTTTTTCTTCAATTTGAGTAATCTCTACAAACTCAGCCCTTTATATCCTGGGTCTGCTCAGAAGCTGCGGATACAGAATGTTGCCGAGAAGAGACTTCTGATTTATTTGCTTATGTCTAACTGCGGCAGCAGAAGGATATTGATAATAAACCTAATGTCTCGGAGAGTTTTTTTCTTTTGAAATGAGGTCAAGAAATGTATCCCCAAGGAATGGGCACAGAAATCACAGTTGCCCAGAAAAAAAACCAGTGAGTGGTTCAAAGCAGCTGCTCAGGTCTTGATTCTGACTCTGAGTTTTTGGTGTTTCTGCCGCAAAATGTTGGGTTTGGGTCGATGAGCTGTTGACAGTTGTGAGAGAAGGCTGCGTGTTGATGAGCTGAGCCTTCAGGGAGCCAGGAGAGGGCCTGCCTTGGCTGTACGATGTGGTTCATGTTCAGCTAGGTATGAAGTTGGAACGGGAGCGCGCTGCAGATGTTATCTTTGGATTTCGGTTACTTCCTCGCTAACCGTGTCCATGAAAATCTTGCTGCTTTTCCTTTGTGTTTGCCGAATGGTATGAGTCAGATATTAAAGCAGTGACTTCAGGTTCCACCCTGGGATGGACCCCAACAAGGAAACGCCAAATAACTCGTAATAGAAAACCGCGCGTTTCCTGATGGACGGCAGGGTGGCGATTCCCGTCCGGCCCCGAACGGGGCTGCCAGGGCACGGACACGGCGCTGCCTGGATCTGTCAGATGCGGAGCACAAAGAGCCTCAGTATAAATACTCCCAGGACGCGGGGAGTGAGGGCAGTTTTATTCCAAGACGCAAAATGGACCTTTTTTCCTCTGGACTTAAAAATAAACAACGTTTTGGCTGAACAAATGGAACCAACCTTTTTATTAAAAGCATATATCTTCTCCTGCCTGGTTCAGTAAGAGGCTTTTAAAATTGAAAGAACTCCTCAACTTGCAAAACAGCTGACTTAAGTCATTCCAATAGCATTTATCATCTTACTTTTTGCTCCTTAAAGTTGGAGAGCTTGTAGCCTTTTTCTTTTTTTTTTTTTTTTCTTTTAAAGGAGAGCAATAAGAAGTGGCTCTAACCCTGTGTGCTCTTTGCACAGGTGGAGGGAGAGGCAGGGTCGAGGCAATGCTGAATCTGTTAAGTTCATTTTTAAATTGATGGAAAGAATCCCATGTGTTTTGATGGGGCTTGACATGCCCGCAAGCTCAAGCCTATTCCTGTTTGGATGTGGAGGAAGGATTACGGGTAGTTATCAAGAGCAGCTTTAATAAAGGTATTAGAAGGAAGAACTTGTTGACTGTGAGGGTGCCCGAGCCCTGGCCCAGGCTGCCCAGGGGGGCTGTGGAGTCTCCTTCTCTGGAGATCTTCAACCCCCGCCTGGACGCTGTCCTGTGCCCCCTGCTCTGGGTGAGCCTGCTTGGGCAGGGGGGTGGCACTGGGTGAGCTCCGAGGTCCCTGCCAACCCCGGCCGGTCTGGGATTCTGTGAATTAGAAAATATTCAGTAACTTAGGGTATGCTACCAAAGTTGGCGACTGGTGATGAGACACCAGCGAAGTGCGCTCTCGTTCCTGAACACATTCACCACGAAGGGAGCCGTCCTGACAGATGAAGCCCTTGGTTGTGTAAGAGTTGCTTAATTCCCAAGACATGCAAGAACGCTTGTGCTTTCCCAAATCAGTGTTTTCAAGGCTCCAGTGATCACATTCTCATACCGGCTTTTTGTTTTCTTCCTCTGTAGCCTGGCCAAGCCTCCAACCAGGAACAAGCCCTTATTTTCTTTAGCTATTTTAGTTTGATTTAGGCTTAGCTGAACCTGACAAAACTGCAGTTTCATGGGAATGTTTGACTCCTGTTGTGCACAGAGATCTCGGAAACAAAACCACGTTTCCTCCGATGGGATGGCGAGGGTTTGTTTGCCTGCTTCTGCCTTCAGGAGACGGAGATTGAAGATTCCCCACCTCACCCCCTAAATTAAACAAACCTAATTCTTTTCATATTTCTCCTTTGGTAAGTTTGGGGGGGAGGGTTATTTTTGTTTGCCCCCCTCCCAACCTTTTATCCTTTTCCTTGCATTCATTTGAAGTTTTTTCTGGGTTTGTTTCTCTCTTGAAATCCGGCCACCAGGATGAGACACCATTCCAGCTACGATCCCAGCAGTGCTGGTGCACAGGGATTGCTGTGCGTGCCTTACATAAGCCAGTCCTGTTTACAGACACGAGGTTTTTGGTCTTTACCAGCAGTACGATGTTGTTGGCTTGCGTTCAAGCTTGTGACTAATTGTAACCCCAGCTCTTTATTTCTGCTCAGCAGCCTCTTAGGGACCAGGCTAAAGGAGATTGGAGAAAATGGGATTTTTCTGAATCTGCAAAGCATGCCTGGCTTTGGGATTGAGATAACCCCTGCCGGGGTGGAACACGGCTGTTGCTGGCAGCTTGGGTGAGCCGCTGCCTTCCCTCAAAGGCAGAGCTCTCCTGGCTGCAGGTGGCTCCTCTGAGCCAGCTCCTGGTTTGTCGCCTTGGGCTTTTTCTTCTCCCCGATTCTTGCATTTGCTCCTTGTTCCTTGTGCTGGGTAAATCGCAGAGATGCCAAAAATGGGATGGTGGGCTTTGCCGTTTGCACGTGGCTGTTACAAAAATCGCGATCGGTCTGAACCATCAAAAGGGAAGGGAGGAAAACTGGCCCGCTGCCCTTTCTGTGGAGCTCTGGGAGGGTTTGCAATGCTTTTGGGTGGGTAATACCCACACGCTCGCTGTTGGGACATACCACAGAGGATGTGGAAATGGAAGCATTTCTGTAAAGAAATAAAAAAAAAAAAGGCAAATCAAAGATCAGGGGGAGCCTTTTGAGTTCGGTGGACAGGCTTCACAGGGCTCGGAACACGCCCGAGCGCAGCTGAGAGAGGAGCCTCCCTGACCTGAGCCACACAAAGTGGTTTAAGTGCCACGTTCAGGTCAAACTTTGTGACTTTTACAGAGGGTATGAACCTAAGTTTTCAGGACGGCTCTAGCCAGGAGGACGCTGGCCCACAGGGCTTCTGGTTGCCTTCTGCGTCTCTGTGTCGGCACGGGACGTTCGGTTCAAAAGGCTTCATCAGGTTGAAGGGTGCGTACCAGGAATTCTCTCTGGGAAAGGCAAATTTGCAATTCTGACACTAAATTATGTAAGTAGGACACTTGGAGCCTTAATTTTATGGTAAAGCATCCTCACAAAGCCTATTAAAGGGGATAGGAGACTAGCAAAACCCAGGGTGGTTGGGGTCCCGGGGTGCTGCCAGCCCCCGTGGGGTGGAGGAGGGTGGTGAGTGGGGCCCATGCCCTGGCTGCGATCCGGGGTACCCAGCTCTCACCGCCGTGCGTTCCCGCAGGTCTCCGTGCCGCCGGTGCCGGTCCCCAGGACAGAGGGACCCGGAGCTGCCATGACGACGGGTGACTGCTGCCATCTCCCCGGCTCCCTGTGCGACTGCCCGGGAAGCGCCGCCCTCTCCAAGTCCGTGGAGGACTCTGACATCGGTCGCCCGCAGTACGTCACGCAGGTCACCGCCAAGGATGGACGGCTCCTCTCGACGGTCATCAAGGCACTGGGCACGCAGAGGTGAGGCTGCTGCAGGGAAGGGCCTGGGGATGACTGCATTGGGGCTGCTTTTCCCCTTTTTTTTGTGGCTCTAGGGGTAGAGGGAGACAGCGAAGTCTTGTTTGTGAAGGAGTTTGCTGGGTGCTAATATTGAGTATAAATCCTCGTTAGCCAGATGCTTCCCAGGCCTGTGCTCTCTTTGTGGGAGCTCATGCCGGTCACATGTGCTGGTGGACTGGGACTCGTGTTCATCAGAACCCCCCAGGCCTGCGGCTGCCCCAGCGTGGGATGGCACAGGCGGCCTCTTGCCGTGTGCCTCTGCCAAGTCCTTGCTGAGCAGAAGTGAAGGTGGGACGCCGTGCTAGCAAGGGCAGTGTGCTGTTCGTGGAGATGGTTTAAGGGCTGAAAATGGAGCACAGCCCCTGTTCCAAGATGGTCGTGGAGCAAAGGCATGGTGTCCATTTGCAGCCCCAGGGCGAGGAGGGTGTTTGTGTCGCAGGAACTGCAGCGTCCAGCTATGGATAGAGGGGACGTATGGCAGCTTCGTTGCTCAGACTGTTCCTGATGTGACTTCTCATTGTGGATTCTGAGCAGCTTCCAGAGCAGAGGACACTTGGCAGCATTGCTCAGTCCGGCTAGTGAGACCAGTCACATTTTGTGTTCAAATCCCATCTGAACAGCTGTTATTTTTTTTTTTTCAATTAATTTGGCTGAACGCTGATGAGGTGTGAAAGCAGTGACTGCAAATGTGGGGGAGGAAAGTGAGAAAGCTAGAGGAGAACTGCGGCAAACGCAGCTGCTGTATCTAGCAAACCTGGAGCAGGTCAATAGGAACGCAAGGGGAACTGAGCTTGCTCTCCGACAGCAGATAGGCTGGGAAAGAAGTTATGCAAGCCCTTAAAACTTGTGAAGGTGTAAAAATCGGGTGGGAAAACTGCCTGGGATTGCAGGTTAACACCCCCACCCCCCCACCGCCCCCCATCAGGATTCCTCATGTGAGGGTCTTCATGGGCCACCAGTTTGTTCATTTTGGTGGTGGTGGGTTTCAGTCTCTTGTCACCAGCGCTTAGCGAAGCAAAGCCGGGAGCAGCGTGGCTGTACTGGAAGGTTGGATTAGTGATATGGTCTCTACAGCCTGCTGGAAAGCTGTGTTTGAGGGTGTATCGTGTGGGAGTGTGACCAGGCCCCCTCCCCCTCCGGATAGGAAGGAAGGAAAATGGAGTCTGATAAGAATTTTTTTTTTTTTTCTCTTGCACTGTCAGCAAATTTTTTCCTTCTGGATTGTTTATTGGTAGCCAAGGTTATATTAATGTGCTGGAAATATGAAACTTCTCAAACAGGAAGAGAACGGGTGAAATCTCTTACAGATGCTTTCTTGGGAAATAACAGATGCATGAGAGCACTGGAGGCTTGGGGTTTTTTTGGTCTGTCCCTGTCACTAAGGCTGTGTGAGTGGGCTGTAATCTTGTTCTGATACGGCACTGAGCTTTATGGCAATAGAGGTTATGGACTCATCAAATAATTCAGATAGGAAGGGAATTCTGAAGGCCATCTGGTCCAGCCTCCCTTCAGAGTAAGGCCAACTTCAAAGCTGGATCAGGCTGGACAAGGCCAATGCAGTTTTCAGTATCTTTGAGGATGGAGTTTCCACCACCTCCAGACTCCTCTTGCAGGGGTTGTCCCAGCTGAAGCAGTCCCCTAAATAAAAGGCACGTGAAATGAGGAGAGAACAAGGGTCAGTGGTTCACCAGTGATGTTTAGCAGAGAGAAGGGGATGGTGCAGTGGGTGTACGTTGCTTCACAGCCCTAAATAAGATTAAAAAGTCCAATTGGGATGGAACCTGCTAAACATTGAGTTGAAAGTGGTAGAGATCTCCTGTGGTGCACCAGGAGAGGAGTTGTGCTTCTTCTGTAGTGAGCTGACGTGTGCTTTCTTGCTGGCTCTTCTCTTCCCTTCATGTCCCACCAGCATGTTTTTCCCCATACGCTCCTTTTCCTTGCGCCCTATTTCCATGTCCTGCTCTTGCTTTCTGTTGTGTCTGGTCGTGCAAATTAATGAAAGTAGTGCTGCTGCTTTTGAAAATTGCACATTGCTTGTTCTGACTCGTGTTGCTTGTTCAGCCTGGAGAAGAGGAGGCTGCGGGCAGAGCTGAGTGCGGCCGGTCAGGGCTTAAAGGGGGCCCAGAGGAAAGGGGGGGACAAGCTTTTTAGCAGGGCCAGCTGGGACAGGACAAGGGGGGATGG